TTGTGCCAGCAGCCAGGGCAGCCCGGCCGTGAACACCTGGGGATGAATTTGAGCCCAGCTTCAGTTGGTGTCGGGGTGCTGTGCTAACTGTGTCTGCTGGGAGCAGCTGGGCGCCGCGGCAGCCTTGCTCCGGCAGCTGTGCCGGGCTGCCCAAGGGTGAGTGCCGAGGGGCAGCCGGGAGCTCACGGTGCGGTGCGGGTGTTTCTTGTGCAGGGAGACAACTGGGCAGTAGAAGAGGTGATTCGGATCCCGGCCAAGGAAGTGACGGGATGGATTCTGCCCAAGATACCAGGTTGGTGTGCCCCGAGGTGGGCACCTTTTTCCTCCCGGGGCATTGTGCTGTGCAGCCTGGCAGCCCCAGCTGGTGCCTGCGCACTCGGGCAGGTCTCCTGTGCTGGGGGCACGACAGGCAGGGGGAAATGCGGGCTGGGGCTCGAGGCAAGGCACGCTTTCTGTTGCTGCTGCCTCCTCTGGAGCTCTGTGTTTCTGTGCCGTAGCCTTCACCGTTGAAATCGTCATCTCAAAGGATGACAAGTACCTGTATCTGAGCAACTGGCTGCACGGAGACATCCGCCAGTACGAGCTCTCCAAAACCTGCAAGCCCAGGCTGGGGGGCCCAGGCGGGTGGGACAGGTGAGGCAGGCGCAGATGGGCTCGTGCTGGCGGGCTCCTTAGCAGGATCTGGTGGTGGGTGGAGGCCAAGACAAGGTGTCTCTCGCTTGCAGGTGTTTGTGGGAGGCAGCATCCTCAGAGGTGGGCCCGTGGCCGTGTGTAGAGACGAAGAGCTGAAGTGCCAGCCGGAGCCCTTGGTGGTCAAGGTGAGTCCTGTGTCCCCTTTGCCCTCTGGTGTCCTTTGGCCTTTGGCTCTGCTCTGCTAATTCTCTGCCCGGGGTTTCTGGGGTGGGTCTCCACTGCGGTGCCCGTGGGTCTGCAGCACCTGGGGTCCTGCCTGCCTTGGGAGGGGAGGCAGCTGCTCTGCTCTGCTCCTCTGCTCTGCTCTGCTCTGCTCCCCGGCTCTGCTCGTGCTTGGCTGCCGCAGGACAGACGCCAGTACATCAGTCTGTCTGTTGTGCCTTCAGTGCAAGCGAGTGTACGGCGGCCCGAGTAAACTGCAGCTCAGCGTGGATGGCAAGAGGCTGTACGTCACCAACTCCTTCTACAGCGCCTGGGACAGGCAGTTCTACCCAGACTTGGTCAGGTAAGAAACATCTGGAAGAAAGAGGCCTCTTTGGTCTGCTAGAAATGAGCAAGGCATCTCATGTGGGGGCACGTTTGTGGTTGCAGGGGACAGATGTTCCTCACATCATCCCCGCAGATTCCTCATGCTGCATTTCACGTGCAGTTGTGTCACGACCATCTCTGGCTGGGCAAGGGGCAGCTGCTGCCTGTGTGGAGCTGCAGTGCCAGGGTTTTGCCTGGAGAGGACGAGTGTTTCAGTCTGGAAGGTGGAATGGATCCACCTGTGGATCTCTGAGAGCCAGGCCACGTCTCTGCCACAGCATCTCCCAGTGTATCCACCAGAGACGTTTTGATTTAGCAAAGCAGACGATGACCTCCAGCACAAAGGCAAGCTCCAGCCTGCCTGTCACATCCTGCCCGGCCGTTTACTCATGTCCACTGAGAATTCAGGAAAAAGGTGGGAGCAGTGGTGTGTGCCACGACTGAAACGTGGCCTCCGCTCCCTTCTGCCTGTAGCAGACAAGATGTTAAGGAGAAAGCCTCTTCCTCGGTATGGAACAGGGGATGAAGGGCAGGATCTCCTGAAGGGGACCGGGGTTTGCTTGTCTGTGACATCTGCACTCTTGTTCCCCGGCAGGGAAGGCTCTGTCCTGCTGCAGATTGATGTGGACACTGAGCAAGGAGGCCTGACCGTGAACAAGAACTTCCT